TTGTATTTTTTACTATTGGGAAGTTACTCATTAATTTTTCATAAGTCTTTCAAAATCATCTTATTGTATTTTCATATCATAGAATATGGAAAGAATAAATGATGAGCAGCTTTACTAATGAAATTTGAATTCATGTCTTCATATATTCAGTGTAGTTGGTTTGTTGAGTTTTAAGTACTTTTATGGAGCAAAAATGTGAAAATGGCAAAAAATAATTGTGTTGCTGTTTTGAAGTACTGCCATATTCTAAAACAATTTGTTTTAATCTTTTTATAGTGATGAAAGCTATCAAGGTAATCTAGAGGTTTTTGTAAGGTAGTATTTATTTTTAGGATTTACTTTCTTTTCAAATTTTAGAGTGCAAGTTTTTACAACTTTTGTTCCAGACAACATTCAATAATACTGTAGTGTATTCACTTTCCTAATAGGTGAATTTTCTGATCTGCTGCCAAAATTAAATAAGGGAGGTAGTTTCCCAGTACACAGAACAATTAAGCTGTGGATATAATCTCCTTAATTTTAGGTTTTTCTTCTATAATTTTTAAAAACACTTTGTATCCATTATTGCTTTTCTAGTATTCCTAGTATTATAGTATCTGACTTAGAAAAGCATTCTACATTGATATTTTAAGTTTAATATATCAGTATTTTATGATTTTCCATGATGAATGTCTATTGTGTTCTGTCACCTAAACAAATGTGAGACAACTGTTTTGTAGTTTTGCAAACTATACAGATAGCTAACAAGTTAACAGTGAAGCCTGGATTATGGAATTAACAACTATAATAATAGCAATCACCAGTTGTGCCAGGAATTTTGCTATGAGCTTTATACATTGTCAGCTCATTTACTTCTAACAACCATGTCTTCAGGAAGTTATTATTTCCGTTTTATAAATGAAAACATTAAGACTCAGACAGTTAAGCTATTTTGCCCAAGTACAAGCAGCTCTTAAACAGTGGAACTGAAATTCAAACCCAAGGCTGTCCGACTGCAAAAACAGTGCTTGTAACAACTATATCATATTGCCCTTCTTTAAATTGTTACGTGGGAAATTACTTTGATGAAATGGTATCCTCCAAGTACACCACCGGGCAAGCTCTCCCAGAGGAATCACAGACCAAATTAAGGTGCTCAGATTATGCTTGCATCTGTGCGTGTGTGTGTGTGTGTGCGCGTGTGTGTGTGTGTGTGTGTGTGTGTGTGTGTTAGTTAATCTGTTTCAAATACAAAGCAAGAACTAAGAGGAGCAAGATGAGGTAGGTTAACACTCCTAGGGATAGGATGCCAGAAGTAGGTATAGGTAGCAAGGGCACACTGTGTGAGTCCTAGTTTATGCAGTGCCCATACATCCTGTCTCACTGTCTCTGTTCCATCAGCATCCCTATGTTTGATGTGGTAACAAGGACCAGAGTTGAGATTTGAACAAGAGTACCAAGAGCTAACAACACACACTTGTTTTATGGCAGAGACGTAGGGGCAAGTATACCTGCTACCACTGAAACTTGCTAATTAGCCTGCTAGGCAGATGGAGGTTTTATCTGCATTTCTTAGGAACATGAGTGACAAAGCTGTCAGCCAGAGCCGCGTGATACGACTTGGGCTTTTCATCCCTTTCTATAGATGACACTCATTTGTTCCATCACATTTTCTATTTAGTCCATCTGTCTTTGGCATATCTTAAAGGTTACTAACTTGGTTACTATCTATATTTAATATATAGTCTGAAGTCTGCCTATGTCTCACAAGCTACTTCCTTACTCATTATCTATAGTTAACACACTGCGAGTTTTGTCCATATTTCAGAAGCTGCTAACTTGCTATCTACAAACATTTCTTTGGAATTTCCTCCATCCTGCTTGTTTCTGTATCTTCTATAGCAGCATTGAATATATTCAAACAATATAGCAATGCATGTTATGTAAATATTTAGATGTAGAATGCTGATAGCCTATACTAATATAAAATTCATTCTTATTTATTTTTCAAGTTTATTTTGCATCCTTGTAATAGATATTATGTGTCAAATAGAAAATTTTTTCTTTCCTCTTGATTTAATACAGGCTATCACTATCTTAGAGCTATCCACATACATGATTGAACTGAGAGAGAAGAGAGGGTTCAGAAGAATTCCATGTTAAGGAGTTCGTAAACTCTTGCTGACTTGTTGCTAGCTAAAGGCTTTTTAAAACTTGATCCAGACACCATGTAAGGAAGGATTGTTTCCTCGTTGCCTATTTGCAGAAGGCACTGAGTAGCTTTTGTCTGTAAAGGTCCCACCCTTTTAACCTTGGGTTTCATGAGAATTGTTAAAATGCTCAGAAAGAAAGAAATTAGGGGGGCACCAAGTGAAACGAAATTCAGAAATAGCTATCTAGGACCTTATAAAAATTTTATGACTGAAAATCTTAGCTGTCATGACATTATTTTAGGAAATATTTTATTAAAATGCAAAAGCCATATAATTCATAATCTTCAATTACCAATTATGAAATGGTATGCATTAAAACATTTTGCTGTAAACTATGTTTTTTTTAACACAGTAAGAATACATATACCCTGATTTCCTCATACTGCATTAAAAAATGAATTCTGTGAGTTCATTCCCTCCTCCCCAAGTATTGTTCTTCGTTTATCATCCTTTTTTCCATATATGATACCAACTAGCATGTAAGATTTATAAAATCAAAGACTTGTGTCTGTTTGGTTCTCTTCTGCAGGAACAACAACTCTCCCAACCTAAGATAGGGCCTAGAACGTAGTAGGTTCAATAGTTAGAGTACATATTAAGCTGCTGTAACAAAGAGACACCACCACCATCAAATACGATGGCTAAGAAACACAGAAGTTTATTTCTCTTTTGTTTAACAACAGTCCTGGGTGAGTAGGTGGCTTTGCCCTACAGCATCATTCAGGGGTCCACTTTCTTCAGTTTTGTTACTCTGCTATCCCCTGGGGTATTGTCCTAGTCTACATGGTCCGACCTGACCCATACATCCTGTCTGCGTATCTGCCTGTGGGAAGAGCAAGATGGAAAGAGAGTGAAGGACAAGTGATTTCTTACATAAACCTGATCTGAATGTTATACGCATAAATTGTTTGCCTCCCATTGGCCACAGCTGAGTCCCATAGTCATATCAGCTATAAGAAAGTCTCTGAAGTATAGTCTCCTGTGGGCAGTGTTTCTAGGTAAAATTCAGCTAGTTTTTTTTGAGTAATGGAAGAAGGGAAGACTGAAATTTAGTATTTGTTGCCACAGTATGCATTAAATCAAAGTTTAGAAAATTATAGAAATTCATAAAATTGGTCCACATTTTAAATCATTTGAGGTTTATTAAAATACCTGAAGAGGCAAAGAGGTGTAGTTAAAAGGTCAGAGATATGGGTTTGGCATTGTCAGTAACTAGCTGAAACCCTCATTATGTGGTACTTAGACTGTCAGGAATTTGAGACAATTATAGGTAAAATGGCGACAATTTCTTTTAATTTCTCAATTAAAATGTACAGTGTCAGTCTTTCTTGAACTTTCAAAACGTGTATTCTGCCATTCTCAACAGTAATTAATATTAGAAAGTAATATGTTTTTAATTATGGTTAAAAAAATAGCTTAAGTTACTGTGAAGTAAGTATAGTCTCCATAAATATTAAGATACGGAGAATAAATATTTAGCTGCAAACACTTTGTGTTTACACTTCTATATTTCACATTTCTATTGTTTTATAAGTCTAAATATCTTTACATTCTATTGCATATGTGAACATTTAAGAATAAACCCAAAAAACGAAACCAAATTTTTCAATAGCATTATATTTTTATGTATGTTCTCTTTCTCCCTAGGATAATATTGAGGTGTCAGTTTCATTATTTATAATGTTGAAAGTCAAATTTAGTAGTTCCTACAAAAGAAACAAAGGTATACACTAAAGTATATATTTCAAATTCTCATTTATAAAAACATATATCCAACTTTCTAAAAATTGTAATGATGAATAGTAAATTCTAAATGTATCTATATAATAAGTTTTTGAGTTTAACTTACTGCTTATGCTACTCTGCCCCTATACGGTAGCTTTTGATTATAGTTGATTGTTAATTATTGTTGTATGACTTTCTTTGTAGCAGCATATGAAAATAGTTTTTACATCATCCTCCTAAAGAAATATCAGGTATTTATTTACATGTTAGATTAAAGAATAGAATTAAAAACTGAAAACATTTAAATTTGCTTTTCTTAGGATATGTCAGCTCAAGGATCATCTTCACAGCTTCCTAAACCTTTTGATCCTGAGCCAGAAGCTAAATATGGCACACTGGATGTGACTTTTGACTATGACTCACAAGAACAGAAGCTTCTGGTAACAGTGACAGCTGTCACAGACATCCCAACTTATAACAGGACAGGTGGCAACTCATGGCAAGTACACCTTGTTCTTCTACCTATAAAGAAACAGAGAGCAAAAACCAGCATCCAGAGAGGACCATGCCCTGTCTTCACAGAAACATTTAAATTTAATCATGTTGAATCTGAGATGATTGGAAATTATGCAGTTCGGTTTAGACTGTATGGTGTACATCGCATGAAAAAAGAAAAGATTGTGGGGGAAAAGATTTTTTATTTAACAAAATTGAATCTTCAAGGGAAAATGTCATTGCCTGTGATATTGGAACCTTCTTACAATCATTCTGTGAGTATCTCATCAAGTGGCCTGAATACGGTTTATGTTCGTGGTATATAATACACAGAATTTTTAAAATCTATAATCAACCCAACAACTTTCTCAGTCCATTTTTTACGTAGTAAGCATACCTTTACAAAAATTTCTAAGCCCTGGATAGGTAGGTACAATTTTCTCTTGTCTATAAAAGTTGCCTCTGGAGATGATTCATGATTCATTTTATGTGTTTTATTTTCTCCTTCACAGAATTCTAGCCCCAAGATCTTACATGTTCATTCCTTTGTTGAACATTTATTAAATGGTTGATTATGACATCATCCAAACTCCTTATAGAATTTATTATTTTATTTCCAGGTTAAAACTAGATGATATAAAACTAGAACTGTCTAGTCTCATAACTTACTTGCCGTATTGCAGAAATTATTTTCTCATGCAGAATATGTACTGCTGCCAAGGTCATGATTCTCCATAATCTCTCCAAAACTTCTGTGAAATTATTCTAAAAGTTCAAAAAAATCTGTCCCCATTATACTTTCCATCCTTTTTAAACAAAGATTTTGAAGTATTACTGGGAGAACACTTAAGCTTAGTACTTTGAGCTAGTTCTCTCTTTTCTCTTTTTTCCTCCAGAGTATAATCGCCTGCAAATCTCTCCCTCTCCATATTTTTAACTGTATTCCCACAAGGTATTGCAAATCACAGGAGAGAAATGTCTGCACTGTTTATTTAAACCAGAGAGATACGTTTTGCCAGATAGTTATTATATTTAGATTATGAGAAAATCTGTAATATGTTATAAGTGCAAATTATGATTTATGTTTATTCCTCTCTTCTATATTGAATAAAAAGCATTTTTAAAATATAAATCTCTGCATTTTAGATAGATTTATATTTTAAAATAAA